GTTTATAGATAAAAATAGTGAAAATGGTAAGGATTATTTACTCCACGCAAATTGAATATTTTTATCACATATTACTCTGATTTTCAAAACTGTAGATAAATACCTACTTTTTAATATATATATAAAAAAAAACAATTTATTCAATATTCAATTGTTTATAGTTAGGTAAATCAAATTATATAGAAAAGCGTATAAGAAAATTAATATTTGTATTATAATTTATACATCATTAAATATTAATATTWAAAAAAATTTTTTAGCACTTTATTATGATGATATTGTTTTATATAATCCAATATAATATTAAGATATCATCCAAATATTTCGGGTGTAATCATAAATATGAATAATGAATACATAAGATGTGTACAAAATATGTAGGATAAAATCCTATAGGTATAAATATGTACAATATAGTATGYAGCTAATATGTGTACAAAAATGTTAAAACTATACTTAATAATCATATAGGTATGAATAGTAGGTAACTATAGACTTTTGATGTAACAATCATCGTAATATAAACTCTAAACAAAAGTCTAAATCATAGTATTATACTATTATATCGCATTATATTTTGTAAATATTCGTGTTTTAAAATCTTACAAGAAAAATTGAATTTGCATATAATATACACGAGTAGGTATAGTACATAAGTGCATTGAACATGTTTCCTTAAACATATAATATATATTGAGATAAATCACAGGTGAATGATACATTAATATACTATTTACTGTTTCAACATTAAATTTGAAAATGATAAATTAACTATAATAGGAAGATAATGTTTCACTTATCGCCTATCGGCTTATTTTGATTAAATCTTGAAAGTGGGTGGTCGCATTATGTTTTTGCTCGATCTTGCTTCTCCACAGGGCAATGGTTGACAACGAGACCACCCTATTCGAAAAATGCTGAACTTGTCATACGAGTGTAGTTGTTGTACTCGCGTGCAAATATTTATTAGGTCATGCCTATATTGATTTCAACTATACTAAACATAAAATTATTATTCTAAAATTATGCACTTTTAGATTGCTTCTAGAGAAAAAAATTATTTATTGATAAATAGTTAAAATAATGTATATTTTCGTTTGTTTTGCCTCAATCTATAATTAACATTGTTGGTATAGGCACAAATTGTTACATATTTTAGGTACTGCAGAGTGCAGGGTACTTACACGCTTTCGAGCGTATGGTTAGTACAGCTTCAAGTAAGTATTATRTTCGAAAATGTAGTTTGTAATTTATAAGGACTGCTATGACGTTTGTTTGTATTTCATTGAAAAATGTATTAATATACACTGAAATATATCAAAAATATATAATATTGTAATACAATAAATATTCAATTTATTTATAATGAAAATTTAATGCTAAAAATATTATTGAAGTTTGCTTAATGACATGTACAATGTGCGAAATATAGTTTAAATAGAGACTGATTACATTACATGTTATTGACACGCACTTGACCGTTTAATTGTTATAATAGGTAATCATTGCAAAGGAATATTTGCATAATTTATTTCAAACTAAATGAATTTATTATATAAAACAATATTGACTTAATAKGGTCAATGGTTGGCCACTTGACCTTATTTTGTTTACTTGTTCTATTACCGATATCTGCGATTTCGACTACAAATTACATTGAAATAGTATATAACTATTATAATTATCACATCAGTTCAAATGTAGGAGAAACGTTTTTGTTTAATTCATGTTTCTCGCGCTAAAATTAATTTCAGTTATTTAATTGCTTTACTAATATTGTTTTCTTTTAGTGTAAACATTATTATTACCTATATCTTGTTGCAAAACATAGATTAATAAATTACACAATTCTAATTATAATATTCTAGAAAAGAAATTGTCTAATATGGACCACTTGACACTTCATCCCTTTTGATAAAAACAATAAAAAAAGTGCACTGCGTCGATGGACGATGACAATTATTTTACAATTATGATTAACATTTTAATCAGTTACATATTAAATAAAATAATGTTTTTTATCACGTAAATAGTAAATACCAAGTTAATATGAATTATAGATCAAATACAAAACAATAATTTAAAAATGCAAGTTTATATAGTTGCAAAACAATATGCTACAATTATTATGATTATGTTTTCGAAGTTGAAAGTAAAAATATTATAAAATTATAGAAGCTGATGAACCATAGAATTTCTGCAGAACGAATCGAGAGAAAGGATTAGAAAATATTGAAATTTACATGGTTATTAGAAAAATGTAATAAATTTCTGATACCAATAAGTAATATATTAATATAAYATACTTATGCTATAAATTGTACGTTTCACTTATTTTTTCATACTTGTAAGGTAGTAATTTTTGTTATTGTATTATTTATAAATATTGCCTTTATTATTTTTCATTATCTATTATTCTAATGGAATCTGATGAGTTATATAAATTCAAGTTAAAATTTATAGATATCGATATCGAAGTCTCGTATGATAAAATTATTTTATGGTATTTAATTTATATTATTGGTAATTGGTATCATACAATTTATTAATTACAATAGACTATATTTGATTTTAATATATATATTTTTTTTTATTACTAAAAACACTATAGATTTAGTTTGGACACGCTTGAAAATTATGTACGTATTAAGATCGTATTCATAAAAAAAATTTAAATAATACAAATACAGCAATATTTTCGGAAGTACAATACTGTCATCTGATCAACATAAGGCATTTATCTTTGTTTCGGCACTGATGATGACATCACGACTATTGTGGATATCCGTTATTTTTTTAACTATATTTTTTGTCGCTAGGATTTAAAATTAGTTATTTTATTTATAATTATTAAGTTGCATTTAATTCATTAGTAGTAAGTACATAAATATTGACTACCTAGTTTTTAATACATAATAAACAAGTTGTTTCAAATAAACTTAATATGTTTTTTTTATATATATTAAATTGTTGTATAGTTATATACATAGGTGTGTTTATTTATATGTATGTATTATATTATTAAAACTACTATAATTGTATAATATAACTGATCCAAGATTTAAAAACTATTAGAATAATTATATGAAATTTTAATTTAAGTAATTATTTAAATCATTTGTAAACCTATAATGATTCACGAATGTACTGAGRGTCTTTTACTTACAAAAAAAAATTATATCATCTAATGAATATTACAACGAAAAACAAATTAATTATAGATTAAAGAAAAATATTATATTTTTCCATGCATAAAACGAATTAAATGATGTCCAGGAAAGGTTTGCAAAACATATAGTTACGGTAAATTGTATTGAATTACCTACCATATTTAACACAATAACAGTTATGTAAAATTATGTACAATATACATTTTTTTGATAYATGGATACCTAAATTTGTCATTTTCATTATAAATTATATAGCAATAATGTCAAACTAACGATTGAGAAATAACTCATATAATCATTATTATTATAATAAGTATCTACGCCGTATATATGTTATTTATTATTAATTATTATTTATTTATATGCAGGTACCTTATAATCAAATCGGAATTTTTATCTTTATGGACTACGATGATGTTATGATCGATTTCATAATATTAAATAGGTATAGTTATTGTTGGTAATTATAAAATAATTTCGCCATCTCTTATTTACGTATATTTAATTTAAGGAAATTATTTTTATAATTTTCGAGTAAGAATTTAGTCATATAAAACCTCGTACATACGTAGAACTTCATTCAATTGTCATCAACCGCGATGAACATTATTCTCATAATATACAAATTTGAACAACCATCGTCGGTCTAAGTTAAACCAAATATATGTATAGCTAGAGGTTATATGTACAAATACAATTATTGACCGAATCTCAAATCATATTTCTGTGGTTGAAATTCTCATCATCGTCTACCTAGACGTCAGTGGCGTATAGTTTACATAATACATATATATAAATTATAATAATTATAAAATGAAATTTAAAATTCCTTTATGGCTCTCTCTCTATATATGTATTATGTATAGTGTATACAATTCATTATGTAGGAATTGAATTAATGACATGAAAATACATAATACATGCGTCCGATATCCACTGAATGAACCTTGTGCAGGAATAATAATGAAACTTTTTTGCAGCCCAAAATCGGTCAACCGTCATCCACGTCCGACCGACCGCGACCGCCACGTGTGTAATACGCGATTTGGCAAATTTTTTTAACACTGGACTCACCGAGGACAGCGGAGATTCGACTGTTCGAGTGCAAATACGCGCGTATCATATTGTATGTATGTGTGTGTGTGTGTGTGCGCGCGCGCGCTCTAAAAACCTAATTTCTCAACCAGCTGTTATCGCGTACACGATACACATTACCTACACACTTATTATAATGTTAAGACATTATATACTATAGTAGGTATTAGGTACTGTACGATGCACGTGCGAGATTTTATGACTTTGCCGCAGTTGTTCTAGCTAGCTCTTGGCCGTTTTAAAATATCAAACGATTTATATAAATAATAAAACGATGCTTAGAAATAATTAGATACTACAACCGAAATACCAATGTACACAGTAGGTAGGTACATTACGTGCAGCTATACATAATAGGTGTACCAGTATTGCGGTATGATAATCGCACTAGAATATTCCTATATTATTGCTGGGTTACAATATGAACAATCGTTCWGAGCAATTTGGTTACCAGTTTAGGTGATTACTAATTAGGTACTCGCTCAAACTAGTAAACAATTTGATCAAAACTGCATCGCGAAAAAACACCTATTATTCAATGGTGAGCTAATGCCTAATGGTCCCTTAAAAATTAAGAACCACGAAATTAATATATTTTTATGTGACCCAGCATGCAATCTTATTATAATATTGTATATTTATATATTTTTATCTGCAGTRACGTTTAATATGTATTATTTATAATTGTATATTTGCATATATAGCCGTAAGGGTATTTGTATTTGTGACATTTACCTGTGACTTCGAGCAATCTCTGGTAATGAGATACACTATCTTGACGTGCGTTCTTCATTCAAAACGTATTTGGGTGACGAGAGAAACAGAAACGAATATGAAATTACCTTTTTGAAGGGGTTGTGTGCGTTATATATATACACACTTGGCACCTGCGATGTGTATGTGATAAGTATAACGGAAAGAATATATTAAATATAATCTTATTGTAAATTATAATATATGATAATGAATTGTGTTGTAAACCGAAGCCGGGAAAGAGAAACATAAAAATAGAAACGAAGAATATGCGGACGGAAGACGACGACGACGCGCGGCACAGCGGGCGTGTGCGTGAAGTCCGTACGCGGGCAACCGGGTGGGCAGCCGGTCGAAGGAGTCGGTGCTGCTGAGCTGTTGTTCGGACGACTGAGGAGAGAGAGGCCTGGCCGCGCGCTCGCAAGCCGCCGCGCCGTCGTCGCCACCGCCGCCATCGCCGACTGTGTCTGGACCGCGACAGACGGGACCCCTCTATATAGGGTTACATGCGCGCGGTCAATGGTGACCAAAATGGCGATCACGCGATTAATTATATTATCTTCATCAGTCGTCACTTTATTGTATATGTGTATCCTTTGCGCGGTGCTATCCAAATATATTCTATAGTAACATTTCAAGTCGATCGCGGMGATAGTAGTAAATACATATAGCATATAGCTATACATATCATATTACAGTTTATAATTTTATTTCTCCTTGGCGGGTATACCGCATACGCCACCGTCACGTGACGATTATCGTTGTAATTAGGTATCTGCAGCATAAGTTCYGCAACTGTATATAGATATTCCCAGGCGGAGTGCAAGAATATTTTATGCCGTCCAGTTTGGTAGGTGTTAAAAAAAATGGTTGGACCATGTACAAAATACATGGCAGTTTTATTTGATCGTACTGAATAATATATTTTATTTTATTACAACTGACAGTTAACCTTACTGGGTGATTTAGGGCCAAGCAATAATCATGCTTAGCAGTTGGCGCCCTCATCAGTACCTACCACCGGTTGTTGAGGCACCACGACAGCGCACTGTCTCCACCGCCGTCATCGGATCCACTCAGCCACGATGATCACTTTATTTTCGCTAGGGGGCGACAACTATGACCGAATTATCTTATAGCGTTTTCTTGCTGTTTTCTCTAAGCGTTCGTGGTGTTGGGTTGAACGACCTATCAGGATGAACCCCTGTGAACTCGTATCTCGCGCAAGCGCGCGTGTACGCGTTTTGTGTATCACGCATACGTCTATAAAATATAAATATGGTAGGTATATTATAAGAAGTTTCCATTCACGTGGCTATAGGAGAGAATCCAATATTCGTGTGCGTGTGTGCGGTATGGAGAGTGTACACACACACACACACACACACACACACACACACACCTCTCTAGGTCAATCAATCGGTTGGTTCCATGTGCGTTCAGGTTCGCCTATTGAACTATTACAAATGAAGGTACATTATATTAAACAATAATAGGTACCTACCTAAACAATAGTCTTGTCGTGCTAGCAGATGTGTTTGTACACCATATATACGTATACCACCTATGTAACTATGTGAGCATATATAGATGCAGCGCGTGCATAACCATTTTTTCTACCATATCGCTATCGTCGCGTGCTCGTGTTTATGAAAATTTAAAGGCACGCGTATACTAATAAACAATAATATAATATAGGTGTAATGTGCATAATATTATAGAATAGTACCGACGAGGTTTCGGAGAATTAATCCTCTTTTTTTTATTATTACGCGTGGTCGTCAATGTATATACAACATGTATTCATGTACACGATGAGAATATAGACAATACTGTATTATATACAAGAGTAAAGAGTCAAATATATTATATAGTTATGAGAGTTCCTCGAGTACCTACGACGTTCATATGAATTCGGAGGAGTATTAAAAAATCATGTTTTTTCGTTATTATGTTGTATGTACCGTAAATTTATATAAGTTATTACATTGGTAGTGATATTTTTTTTTTTTATAAAACTGGTTGTCAGGGTTGTAACCCCAAAATCACCCCTCGGTTATACGGCTTGTTACAAGCATATAAATATATATATATATATAAATTTAGGTGTACACTATTTTAGCATAGCAGGTTTAGGTAAGCTATACTATAGTAACTATACACTGTTGAGTATAATATAATATTGTATGCGATATCCGACTACAGTTATATAGCTATAATTATAATATACGTATAGTGTCAATACAAGACAGTGTGCATTTACGTGCTCGTACAATACGATATCTACGCGAGGGTTGTGCAGTGCGTCCATGTTTTCGAACCCCTGCAGCGTGTTTGACCACCAGCTGTAGTGTATTATTATATTTGGTAGTATCCATTAGGATCTGAATATGCACGTCCAAATGTATAAGTTTGTTACATATTTCTTTTTTTTAACCAAAATTTGGTATAAAAAAAGTATTCGTACAAATGTTTTTTGTATAAAGAAAGTGAATATTTACAACCTTAAAGAATAAATAAAAATAGATTTGTATTTTAAAGTCCAGATGACTTGTGATTTCATTTTACATATCTATTTTATATTGCATTTAAATTTTCAATAGTTTTGGCATTTTCCACATATCTTTTTTAATACAAATAACATGCCATATTGCCATAACCACTCATGTAAATGAAATATCAAGGTTAGGTTAGGTTAGATTATTGGACGCTTTGTAATAAAACTATAAGTTTATAACTATATATAAGAACTATAAAAACTTCGATATTATGTCCAATATCTAATACGCTTAAGACGTAACTTCTTAATATTTTATGCTTAGGATTAAATTGATTGAAAACTATAAATGTTCGGATGTTCCTCTTATTTTGTGTACCTATATACAATACATATATCCATATAGGTAAGTATACGTTTGTAAATTTAAGACGGTCGCATTAAATTTATTTTGAATTGATTAACTTTCTGTTATCACTTATTATTCACTTTGTACTTTATAATATATTAATTAGTAAATTCATGCTGTAAAATTTAAAATCCTTTATATGTATAAAAAGATAATTGGCCACTTACAATATTAGAGCATTCATGGCACTTCGGAATTGTTTGTACTATGTCATAATACTCATAAAAAAAGCAATGTAGATTGATAATGAATTAACAGTTTTTTCTTTTAGTAGTAAAAATTAAGATAATAATGTAGAATGCAATTATTCATTTTATTACATGATAATTTTCGCGTGTTAAATCCTATTCATTATTTTAAAAACATTTGTGAATTTTGAGATAGGTAAAGTAGCTGATATGTTAAAATAATACTTTATTATGTTAATAGTATTATAGGTTTTCAATCGATATTTACTTATTTTTTTATTTTATTACAGATTGTAAATTTATTTATATTATAAAATAAAATAATTATATTGCAAAAAAAAAAAGATTTTCAATCGCTTAAACCAAATACATCATACTCGTAAACTATCGTTATAAGTAAAGCCGTAAAGGTTAGGTTAGGTTAGAAAATAAAATAAATAAATAAATCATTAAGACTACTCAATTGTATATTCCAGCTATTAAAATATTTAGTAAGTGTAATGAACCTATACAATACACTTGCATACGAGTGAAAATTTTATACATCACACACACTATACAAAAATATATGAACATATAATACAAATAGATAAAAGCCTGATGGCTTACTTGGACAACATTGACCGAATGAACATTTTTATAAAATTCATTGTGGTATGAAAAATTTCTTTTCAATTAGCAATATTCAATTATTATTTATTATCGTCATTAAAATTAATCGAATGAGTAATCATCTTAAGTACTTCACATTTATACAATTTGAAATAAAATTATTATGTAGGTAAATTAGTAACAATTAATCAAAAATCTCAGTTACTGAAATACGTCTTTCAACACTCAAATAGCAGATACAATTTAGAATATATTATAATATTATACAGTTATAATAAGCCTGTTAATTTTATTTAGACAAATATTAGTTATAAAAATCATGCTATTAATCGTATTAGTAAAGATTATATAAATGTTTTTTTAAGAAATTATATTATGATTACTATAAATTAATAACTAATGTAAAGCATACAGTCCAACTAATTTCAGTAAATAGACAATTATGTTATAATAGATGAGTACCTAACGCATAATACGACAACAATCGATTTTTATGAAATTATAACGACCGTAATTATATTACAACTTTTAATAAATTATTTTTGTGTATATAACTTCAAACTTGACATATTTCTGTATACGTATTTACTATATATATAAAGTAATGCACTAATATGACATATTTATTTAAACATAATGTGCATCTATCTAGATAGATACCTAACCTATATATATATATATATATATATATGTATACTAAGTTACCATATATATATATATGTATACTTAGTTACCATTTGGTGGTTAATGGTCATGTTATAAAAAAATACATAATCAAATAACTGATGTAAATAAAATCATTAACCTGCTAATATTTTAAAACAATTTTATATGATTTAAAAATGAATAACTATATGTCTATATAAGAGTAGGTACAACACCCCAGTTATATATTTTATCTATGTTTATTGTAATGAATTACATTTTATAATTATTATTTACAATTCCATTCAAAAATTAAACGTATCCATCTATATTAATCAATGGAGTTCAATTTATTGTGAAGTACTTTTATATAGTTTATTGTAATTGATCATATGTGTTTGGTACTTGTGGTTAGCACATAAATTTAACACTATTATAATACTTAATACCTTACTATACATTACTATGAGTTAGTTCACACACTAATTTAAACAATTTCGATACATATTACTTAAACGTAWAACTGTTAAGTCATTAATATTGTGTATTTTAATACCTATTGCTATTTATTATTTATGAGTATTGCAGCTGTTTTGTTAAATGTTCGTTAACTGGACAGGCCTGCACTGCACAATTTTTTAACTAACAGATGACATATAACATATGGTTTGGTAAGTAATACAAACATAACAAAATTAACCTCAAAGGCCTCAAAGTATTACAACTTAATTATGAACAATGATACAAATATATTATGTACATTGAATATTTATATTGGTATAGTATCTAATAAATAAATAACTATTGTCAAATGGTGATTGTATAATGTATATATCTACTAAACTATTAGTACTAACCGGCTTGAATTACATCTAAATTAGTACCTATTGATTAGTAAATTGTAATTGTAATAAGAGGAACAATAGTACAATACGACAAAAATAAAAATAGATTATTTTGTTGAAAATAACGATGACTGCTGTCTGATGCTAAAATGATATTTTCAGATGGGGCGCTATTGTACTAACTTTGAAGATCACAGTATACTATTGCAGAGTCGACAATTGTATACTAAATTTTAATTCRAA